TCCCACCACACATATACACAAGAGTTCGGTCACAAGATGTCGATAAAAGTTTACACTGGTTGGTCCGTTATTTCGGTTACGTGCTAAAGTCCATCTTAACGGACTTGGGCACTGCCACCGCGGCACCTTGCACACCTGTCCGGCGGGCGGCATTTCAAAACGCAGCTTCCGTCGCTGTTTAGCACAATATTCCTTCCAGTACTGTGTCATGAACATTTGTGGCGGTTAAAGCGTGTCTTGGACGGTTCATTTGGGCCTGCAAGGTCAAGGTGTCAACGCGTCTTCCGTCGCTCCTTGTTCGAGTCGGAAAACATAGCAGCCATTTTGAACGCAGACTGCTACATGTAGGTACATAACGGACATATATCTGTTTCGCCGCTCTTCCTGCTGCAACCGCCACTTTATAAATTGAATAAAAAGATAAACATACGATGAAATTTCTACGAGGCTTGCATCAAAGTCAGGCATAAACAGAACGGGCATCGGGTTGAAAACGATTGACGCCTCTCTTGTATGACCCTTGAGGGATCACTATGTTATTCACTACAGCTATGAGCACTGCCTAGACAGACTGGTGTATAACTTACCAAGGAGGTTAAATATCAAGCCAAACTCCTTGATATGACAACTGTGACTTTCCGACAGTGTGACCAAATATAAAACAGGTACGTTTTCCTGACTTTATTTCTTATATCAACGCGGTAAATGCAACAATGTCGCCCAAGTACTGTTTACATTTAGCCACTAGTGTACAATAAAACAAGCTTTGTTTTTCCTGCTACTTGCAATACATACGGTGTGGACGCGCGCGCGTGTGTGCTCGTGTCCGTTTACGTGTATGTGTGAGTGTGTGTGTGTGCACGTGTGTGTGTGTGTGTGCGCGCGCGCGCGTGCGCTTGTGTGTGTGTGTGTGTGTGCGTGTGTGTGTGTGTACATATTATGTATATATTTATAAAGCATTTATCTCATAATAATACAATATGGAATATGTCATCGAACAGACAAAAACAACATTGTGTGGAAAGCGTTGTGTGCAAGATTGGTGTTGTGATATCGGAAACATGGATATGGCGGTAGCCTTTATAATTGGTTGCACAAAGCGATCATAAACGATGATTTTGATTTTGGAAACGGTCAAAACCATATCCAGTCGCTTGAATAACTGCTTTTTGGTTCATGTATAGCTTTGTAGGATATGGGGCCTATCGTGGCCGACAGGGACACTGTTTATTCCATTTCCTGTGATTACTTTCATTTTCCGAGTACTTCCATTTTGTGTGGGTAACTCTTCCACATTCCAGAGAATTCATATAAAGCTCCAGATTGGCTTATTATGCTACTATACGAGTGTATACCATCGCGCCATACAAAATTTTATAAAAGGGGGTGGGGAAACAGGTGGTTATAAAAATAGTATCATGACGAGAGAAAAATTACCTACGTGTATACAGCACGTGACATGTTGATTAGCCAATCAGTGCATGATGCCGAGTGCCATGATCACGTGGCACAAGAGTTCGGTCACAAGATGTCGATAAAAGTTTACACTGGTTGGTCCGTTATTTCGGTTACGTGCTAAAGTCCATCTTAACGGACTTGGGCACTGCCACCGCGGCATCTTGCACACCTGTCCGGCGGGCGGCCTTTCAAAACACAGCTTCTCTCGCTGTTCAGCACAATATTCCTTCCAGTATTGTGTGTCATGTACGTTTGTGGCAGTTAACGCGTGTCTTGGACGGTTCCTTTGGGTACTTACAAGGTCAAGGTGCCATCGGGTGTCCCAGCCGGGGAGCGGACCTTGGGGAGCGGACCAAAAGCTAACAAGGCTGGACTCCAGGCTAGTCCTCCGTCGCTCCTTGTTCGAATCGGAAAACTCCGCAGCCATTTTGAACGCAGACTGCTACATGTAGGTACATAACGGACATATATCTGTGTCGCCACATTTCCTGCTGCAGATTGAATAAAAAAGATAAACCTACGATGAAATTTCTACGAGGCTTGCATCAAAGTCAGGCATAAACAGAACGGGCATCGGGTTGAAAACGATTCAAGTCTTTCTTATATGACCCTTGATGGATCACTACAGCTATGAGAACTGCCCAGGCAGGACTTTGACTGGTTTATAACTCACCAAGGACGTTAAAATTAAGCCAAACTCCTTGATATGACAACTGTGACTTTCCGACAGTGTGACCAAATATAAAACAGGTACGTTTTCCTGACTTTATTTCTTATATCAACGCGGTAAATGCAACAATGTCGCCCAAGTACTGTTTACATTTAGCCACTAGTGTACAATAAAACAAGCTTTGTTTTTCCTGCTACTTGCAATACATACGGTGTGGACGCGCGCGCGTGTGTGCTCGTGTCCGTTTACGTGTATGTGTGTGTGCTCGTGTCTGTTTACATGTATGTGTGTATGTGTGTGGTGTGTGTGTGTATGTGTGTGTGCGTGCGTGCGCATGTGTGTGTGTGTGAGTGTATGTTTGTGTGTGTGTGTGTGTGTGCACGTGTGTGTATGTGTGTGCGTGCGTGCGTGTATGTGTGTGTGTATGTGTGTGTGGTGTGTGCGTGTGTGCTTTTATCTCATAATAATAGCAATATGGAATATGTCATCGAACAGACAAAAACAACATTGTGTGGAAAGCGTTGTGTGCAAGATTGGTGTTGTGATATCGGAAACATGGATATGGCGGTAGCCTTTATAATTGGTTGCACAAAGCGATCATAAACGATAGTCAATTATTACCTTCGCCAAGAAGGTTATGTTTTCAGTAGCGTTTGTCTGTGTGTGGGTGTGTTTGTGTGTGTGTGTGTGTGTGTGTGTGTGTGTGTGTGTGTGTGTGTGGTTTAGCAAGATAACTCGAGAAGCAGTAGATGGATTGGAATGAAATTTGGTAGGTAGGTAGGTCTTCATAAGACCTAGGAATAATTAGATTTTGGGCCCCCTGGCGGCTTTCCTAGGTACTGCAGCAGAACTTCCGGTTTTGATATCTCGTGATCTGGACATGCTAGGGTCACGAATTTTGGATGGCAGATAGCTCTTGGGATAGGGAAGAAGTGACATGAGTTTGGAACTGCAGCCTTGTTCTGGAACTGCAGGAGCATTTGTTGAAAATTTTTCGAAGGAGGATAATTCAAGAACCGGTTGACGGATTGTCGTGATTTGTGGTATGTAGGTAGTTGAAGTGATGCTTGACATGATCAGATGACAATTATGCAAATCAGGAGCTAATTTACATAATTTATGAGGAAATTCTATAAATCTGCTTTGTTCGATAATAGAACTATGAAACACTTGTGACATCACTGTGAGAACGAGAAAAAACATCTGAGGATATAGATTATGTCAATGAGGACCTAATTTGCATAGTAAATGGCAATTTTTTTTATCATTTCATAGTTGTAACTGCTGGGAATTTCATACTTGCCACATTTGGAAGTTAAGTGAAGGTGAACATCAACAAACATACTTTTTACAAATCATGGCCTCATTTGCATAATTTAGGAGGAAGTGCTATAATAGCATTTTTGTTAAGATAAGGCTGTCATTGGGTGGAGAATATGATCAACTGATATAATCCATGCAAATGGGGCTCTTATTTACAAAATCAATGATTAAAATTGTATAATTTGTCAACCACAAGGGTTAACATCATTTGGCGAAGGTATGAGATCGTGGAACTCTTGTTTTGATTTTGGAAACGGTCAAAACCATATCCAGTTTCTTGAATAACTGCTTTTTGGTTTATGTATAGCTTTGTAGGATATGGGGCCTATCGTGGCCGACAGGGACACTGTTTATTCCATTTCCTGTGGTTACTTTCATTTCCTGAGTACTTCCATGCAGTTTCTGTGGATAACTCTTCCAACAAATTTATATAAAGCTCCAGATTGACCATATTATGCTATTGGCGAGTGTATACCATTGCGTTATACAAAATCAATCCTTGGTAAACAAGAGGAGGTGGGGGGAACTGGTGCTTAAAATAGCAGATTGACGAGAGAATAATTACCGCGCACAGGCAAAGCGCGAGACAGGTTGATTAGCCAATCAGTGCATGATACCTAGTGCCATGATCACGTGGCACAAGAGTTCGGTCACAAGATGTCGATAAAAGTTTACACTGGTTGGTCCGTTATTTCGGTTACATGTTAAAGTCCATCTTAACGGACTTGGCCACTGCCACCGTGGCACTTTTCACGCCTGTCCGGCGGGCGGCATTTCAAAACGCAGCTTCCGTCGCTGTTCGGCACAATATCTCCTCCAATACTGTATCATGTACATTTGTGGCAGCTAACGCGTTTCTTGGACGGTTCCTTTGGGTACTTACAAGGTCAAGGTGTCAAAGCGCAAAGCGTGTCTTCCGTCGCTCCTTGTTTGAGTCGGAAAAGTCGCAGCCATTTTCAACGCACACTGCTAGGTACATGTCACAAATTTATTTCCTTCACCGCCCTTTCTGCTGCTACCGCCATATAGTCTAGTCTCCAAGGAGATTTTCTGGGGAGTCTGTATAGTATATATTGGCCGCCTGCAATACCCACTTGGGTGGCGCAATGGATACTTTCTTGCCAATTTGATAATGTATTGCAGCTACCCAAAGATCTGCTTGAAGATTACACACAAGGCTAGCCACGATTACGAGTTAGTGTCTCACATAATATCCTGAAATCAGCGCTGCTTATAAAATGAAATTTACTGTGGATTTTTTGCGACCCTAGACTCAAAGTCGGGAACTAGCGGGGCGAGTCGGGAATTAGCGGGGCGAACGTCGGGTTGATAGTATGAATACCTACTTTCCCCGATTCAAGTTTTAAGCCTTTTAATACGATCTATTATTTCATTGGTTGCACAAAACGATCGTAAACGATAGTCAATCAATGAAGGTCATCTTTTTAAACGTTCATAAGTTGGCGGGGAGTGGGGTTAATTGATAGTAAATGTTCCTAATTCCTGTCTATATTCCTGTAAACTATGACATGCAGGAAGGGGTCCGGCCATGCTCGATTATAAGTTCTTCCAGGCTGTATGGGATGGAGATGTGGAGACTGTGAGGAGGGGGCTGGAGGAAGGGGTGGATGTCAACAGGAGCTTACAGGTTAACTCTTATTTCGGCCGGGTAAGTTGGAAAACGTTTTATGAATTCTATACTGTTAGAGCACTTCCGTTTTTTGTATATTTTGTCCGGGACATGCTATGGTCATGATATTGGGATGACGGGTAGATTTTAAGGGCCTAATTTCCAATAATGGGAAAATGCCATTACTGGTAAATAATGATGGGATTTTGCCTCCGGGGGAGGACACATACTTCCGCGGAAGGGCTTTGTGAGAGATGTAGATTTTCATGTTCTCGCGTTTGGGTGGACGGATTCTTTTGGGACTCGGTATATGTTTTGCTATTGGGCTGTAGATGATGCACGTTCTTTTGTTACTCCGTGAAGGAGGTCTGGACCTCCGGACGGCACGCAATTTTATACGCCGTCTACGGGCATGCACGAATGTGTATTTTTGCCGTTGCTGCTTTCGCGGTCAATGTAATATTTCAAATGCACCCCTACAATTTTGAGGCAAATTGGAATGGTCCAGAAAACCCGTTGTTTGGAATAGCGGGGGGGGGGAGTAAAAAGTTCAGGCAGATGTAACGAGGGGCCGATAAGTGGTTCCAGATGTTTTTGTCCGTGCTTTAGGTATGCTTAAGGTTTTTGGAAGATGTTCGCAGCCAAAACGCACTATTCTGTACGTAGCATTTCTGGCATGAATGAATGAATGAACTTTATTGCTCGACAGTTGTACATGGTACAATGTATGGCATCAATAACAATGTGATCAATACAATCAAGTCTATTCTAAGAGACTACTAGTATTACTACAGGAATATGAACGTAAACGGTGTATGACATGATGTGCGTTAGGCGTTGCTATCTGTTACAATACTTTCTCTCTTTTGTAATGCACTACATATATATAGCAGTTTCTATATCGATGTAATTGCATACTTTAGAAACATCCCTTTAATGTTGTGAAAGTGTTTTCGTCCGGCTGTTGCAGCCCTTCCCGCGGGCGGAAGTAGCTTGCAGTAGCTTGCTTCGCGGCCTGGTATGCAAATCTTGCATGACGTATCCGCGTTATGCGTCTCTGATTGGTTGTCAACACAAAGGCGCTGGGACGCCAAACAATTTTTTGTTTGAAAATATGCACTACATCGCTGTTTTCCACGAGTGCATAGGCACATTTAGTGAAAAAGGGCACAATTCAAATAACCTTTGGGGGAAATTTATGTTCCTTTGTTGATTATGTTTACCGAAGGAAAACATATTATATTTGCTCATTTCCTCCTCTTCTTCTTCTCCAAACACCTAAAAATCGTAGATATTTTCGTAATTAGAGCCTGGAGGAAAATTAAATTCAGCATGCTAGTAGGTTGATACGTTAGACATTGAACCTTTGTCATTTTGGCCAACATAGATGTGAAAAAATGACTTTATTGGCAAAAAAATGGGTAAAAAAAGTTGCATTTTAAGCCAAAAATCGAACAAAAAGAACGCGTTTGGAACATTCGAACAACCATGGAACAATGGAACAGCGTGTTCGATAACCGCGGTCAATGACCCTAGCGCTACGCACGGAACACCCGAGCGTTCCAAATATGGGCATCCGCCCGCGTATGACACGAGAAGAGATCGGTGGATCAATGTCAGCGGTAAGTTTTCATTTTTCTTCGTAAAATACGGTCATATGAATACCAGTCTCGAGTAGAGAATATTGCATTGGGATTTTGGGTTCAATATCCACAAGTAGGACTGCAGATTTCCACAGAATGCCGGCGACTTTGTGTAATTTTTTGCATGTCACCGCCGGCTCAAATAAAAAAAAACACTCATAATTTACACTAGCTCCTGACTTGATAGAATCTCGTATGTATAGAGATTTAGGCTTGCTGCCGTTTTGAAAATAAAGTAAACAGAATTGTGTTCATCTGTAACTATTGTCGACTTTGTAATGTGGGTGCGGGGCCGGGGGAGGGGGGCGTTTGTTTACGTTTATATAAACATGGATGTGACATTACATTTTGTCGTTTTGTCAGACAGTTTCAATCTTTTTCGGGATAATACAGTACAGTTCATGGGATAAGCATCAAATGGGGATTCATCGGGATATCCCGGGATTTTTCGGGAACCATGTTGACTAAGATTTTTACAGACAGACGGTGCGGCGCATGTTTGTTTCCAAATTATGCATGATGATAACATTAGCACAAACGGCTAGTGTTATTAATCAAATATTTCTTTTTTAATATCGAAAATCTTAGTGGCTTAATAATGTTTAGAACGATAACAAAATAATACAACCTTCTTGGTACGAGAATTTCTGTCTGACCTTGCGATGTGGACGGCCCTAAGTACTGCTTTTGATGTCACCCGACCCGCGCTATCTCAGATATAAAATCTAACACATCCACGTGCTATGTCGCCAGAAGTTCATTTTTCTCCTAGATAGGGGAGGTCGACGCACGGAGCTGCGGAAGGGAGATTAAACATTATACAAAAGAGGGGGGGCGAAGCATAATTAAAAAGTTCTTTACGCCTCTTGGCTGTGTTTGCGATCAGCGACGAACAAGAATTGATACATTTCTGTGACTGGGCCACGTTGCCATAGAAACGGCACGCAGCATAGCTATCACCGCGCGGCGCCCAATCACAGCACACAGACGGGGACCCGCCCACTGGCTGGGCGGCAAGATTTCAAACTCAAAGGCTCGATGCTCCGCCCCAGAGACTCCGGCCGCCCTGGCGATTGTAGCGATTTTCCGCCTCAGTCCTGCAAGCGGCATTGTATTTTTCTCATCCCGATTTCACTCCAAAACAACGTTTTCACAAGTGACATCGAGAACTAGAATGCTTTTTCCACCGGAAGATTTTTTGCCAGCCGCGTGGAAGTACTTGCTTTCAGGGTAATACGTACGTCGACGTGGTCGGATCGTTGATTGTTGATGCAAGGGTTTATTTATTTATGTGTACGTGTTTGCATGGAAGGGGTGAGACGCTTGCCGCGGGATTTTGATGTGCAAACGTTCCTAATTTTCGTAATACAGAGACTACTTGACGCAGTCTGCTTATGAGAAGATGAGTAGACCTCAACAAGCCAATTTAGTACAAGATGTCACAATGAAATACAACTACTACTACAGCCGGTACGCCCCATTTTATTTGAAGGTTTATAAACTTGCCGAAACTCACCGGAGACGAAGGGGTTATTAAAAAATCATTCCTGCTATTTTCTTACAGTTTTCGTGAGTTTTTCGCTGCACAATAGCTTTGTAAAAATGTAGCAGTTCACCTATTACCGCGTGAGGAACGCGTCATACACAATATACACTCCTGTGCTATCGGTGGATAAAAATTTTGGCAAAGTTGACTGACGTCAGGGTGCTCCATTGGCCCTGCCCAGATCGCCCGACAGGACGTAAAAATAAACATTTGGCACGCCGCCATCGGTGACAGAACCCGCGGTAGACTTGGAGATCTCGCACCACACGCGGATATCTCGCGGGATTTTTCGGGACGCCTATCCCGAAAAATTCCGTATCCCGATGATGCATATCCCGTGAAGTTATCTCTCTAAACATAATAAGGATAAAATCAGTTTCTGATCACATTTGAAATGCTTACTCTCCTGTTTGTATCCTCATAAGACTCTTAAGATTGGACCTCTGCTAGGAAAGGAAGCAGAACTTGGTCCTAGAGAAACTGGGGAGGAGTAACTGCTTTTTGGCAAACTGGGGAGGAACCTAACAGAGCTGAACCCAGCCATCCACAGAAGGATACAACACATCACAACCATTTCTAGAAACACATTATTTCTCCATTTTGGCCAGTAAATATTCATTATGTATGTTAAATTTGCATAATATATGTAACAGTTAAGTCATATATAGCTTTTAAGTATGTATGTATGGTTTTATAGAGTGTGTAGTTCCAATATTTTACACAACTGTAGATTTTCATCATCATTGCAATGATCATTGCATGATAAAATTTCAAAGAACAATTATTATAGAAGTGGGTATATTCACTGGCTCGGCGATCAAAAGAACAAGTAAAACCCAACAAAACTGGCTTGATATATATCTTATATACTGTAGTATAAAGACTAAAGTGTACTGTAGGAATTAGTTCTTCATATCATTGTATATCATTTCGTATGATATACGTATTTACAATTAGCCTTCTGTCATGTATTTGTAACAATAATAAACTTATCATCATTATTATTTCAGCCTACGTCCTGTTTCCTATTTACAAAAATGTAATAAGGTAGTGAGATGAGCGCAGCAAAGTCCTTTGTAACTAAAGCTGTCAAAAAGACTCGAAGTTTACTTGCAGTCTGCAGAGGATTAAAGTTACATGCTGTGGCCTAATTGCAAACATGGTAAGAGTGTGTGCTGAGTGAATCATTGGTACTGTGGTATGTAACTATATATATCCTAGTATCTCCTATACATGGCACTACAAGACTAGTCTATGGTAATGATCTTTTAGTGGCAGACGGGTAGACTTGGCCTTACAACGGCAAAAACATTCAAATTCCCCAGTTATAACGTTGATGTTACTCTATAAACAGCATATAAAAGTCAGTAATATAAGCAAACTATCCTTCTACCTTTCCTTTCCTAATAAAGGTATAACATTAAATCGTAGGCAAGACCATCCTGAGGTAAACATATTGCATTTGCTTGCAAATGTTACCTTTCTAGTTTATGGTTTATTTTTGCTCTTATGGAACCCGGAAGTGCAGCCTAGGCCAGCGTGAGTTTGACCAAGGATCTTGGTTTGACGTATTTTTACCGATCAAAACATAAACAAAACTCCCGCTGAAGAAAGGAAATTATCCTGTATGAATACATTTCAGATCCCAGTGACTATGTTTTAACGACGGAAATATTTGAGGTCACGCACGATGTGCCCGCGTTTTAGCCTCAGGAATTTGTTTCGCAAGTGGGGCATGGTAGGCATGCACGGCCTACATGTATGTCCGGCACGCTACGTACGTACGTTGGTGTACAGCCAGCGATTCAGTGTCTTATAACATTTTTTTAACAATGACATTTTTAAGCATA